TCTCCCGTGCCTGATCGATGACCAGCTTCACGCGTTCGTCAACTTCATGCCAATAATCTTGCTTTCGAAAGTGCAACGACGGGTGGTTCGAAGCAATAGTGTGAGCTCGTTCCAGCGATTGAAACATCAGAAGTAGTAGTAGTAGTAGCGCTTCGATGCTATCTTTGTTGAGCGGTCTAAAGAACTTCACCGCCATCTTCTGGTTGGGCCAGTTTTTCCTTCTGGAGTACCTCTGGATCATCGTCTCTTGGTTCGGATTCCACCGCCAGTTGTGTTGTTGCTTAAAAACAAAACATTTGAACTGGGTTGCCAAACATGCCATTATTCACAAGCGAACAATATTAGTCCGATGAATGGCATTCTCAGCACTGCCGGTACAGCTGCGGCACAATGAGAAAAAAATGGCGCAAAATGAGTGTGGCCACCCTTTGGTCTGACTGAATATCCAAACTTTCCTAAAACTTATAAAATCGTTTTGATAGATCATAGCATATTTTTCAATGGATGCTACTTAAAACTATAAATACTATTTTTTTAAGTTGCTTTTAGCAGGATGGTGCACTGTCTTTTTGCCGTAGGACTAGGTATGTGATTTCTATATGGTGGTACACTTTGTGAAAACCCAAAATGCAACGAACATCATGAAAGATTTTGAACGTTAATAACACAGGTGCCCCTGGACCAATTTCAATAATTTTATCACCAATCGATCAGATATATTTCTATGCATCTGTGAAATTTAATACTTTATCATTTTTCAAAATGTCACCAATGAAAATTGCATGAATGTGCAACTGTTGCTAGGATAATTAAAATTATCATCGATTACCTGCGAAAAGCGATTTCCCTAACTCAGATTTCAATGTTGAAATCCATCTGGTCTCACCAAATGGTGTTTATTAAATCACCGCGTGGTGAGTGGTGGTGTTCTCCAGTACACAACGAAACGCTCCCCACAAGCAGCTAGCTAACAAGACTGGCCACAACCGCTGATTGGATTCAGTTCCAATCACCGTGTGAAGTGTTGTCCGGTCGTCAGCATCAGCTGCAGCAGCAGCAGCAGTGTTTTCGGCGCGTGGCGTTGGACATTGTTCTCCATTACACAACGAAAGGCTGCCTGCAAGCAGTGAGCTGTAGCCCACATGAGCATCCATAGAAGGAGGAAGAAGCTGCACCACTATTGATCAGAATCAATAGCTCTTCGTTAGTCGCCATCCATGCCAAGCGCGTCACCCTCATTCCAAACAACATATGTACAGCTCACCAGCCTCATCTGTGTTTAACACCCTAACACTCCGAATACGATGCCTCCGAAAAACGTGTAACGGCAAGTTAGCAATGGCATAACTTAGCCATTTCTTGATGAGTTTAAAAAATTGTGGTACTTCTAGAACTCCTAGGGTATGTAGACTATTTTGATTTTAAAAGATTAAACATAGGGTCGTCAAATTTATTTAAAAGCAAAAAGAGTCGTTACACATTTTTTAAAGGAGCGTTAATGAGTTTTGAAAGTGGCCTAAGATCCATAAATTAGATTAATGGTTACAAATGTACATAATTAGCTAGAATACAGTCATGGTTCCTATATATGGATTCTGGAGACAACGGAACGGTCCTCCGGAAGATTCGGAAAGTGATTTATCCATGAAACTGATTCTAGAGCTCCGCGTTTTTTTTTTCGAAAACATTAGTAACTGTAATATAAGAAATAATTTGGGGTCATGAAATAAACATGGTCCCGGATGGCAATGAGACCGTTCTCCGGAAGATCTGAAAGATTCTTAAAAGTGGTCTATCCATGAAACTGATCCTAGAGCTCCGCGGTTATTTCAAAAACATTAGGAACTGTGATTTAGGAAAAAGTTTGGGGTCGTGACATAAACATCATCCTTCGGAAGATTCCGAGCATTGGGAAAATTGGTTCATCCATGAATCTGATTCTAGAGCTCAGCAGTTTTTTTTTAATCTCTTGGAACTGTGATATAAGAATAAAAAATTAGGTCGAGCCGTAAACATGGACCTGGTTAGGCATGAGACCGAGTTCTGGATGATCTGGAACATCCTTAAAAGTGGTAAATCCATGAAACTGATCCTAGAGCTTCACAGTTTATTTGAGAAATTTAGTAATAACGTCATAAGAATGAATTTGGGGTCGTGACATAAACCTGGACCTGGATAGCCATTGGACCGTCATTCAGAAGACCCGGAATAACCGGGTTTATGTCATGTGTGTGTGTGTGTGTGTGTGTGTGTGTGTGTGTGTGTGTACAATCTAACCCCCACTGTCCGGCAGTGTTATTATGGAAGAAAACTGCTTTTTATTACCCTTCAATTAAAGCAGGTTTAGTCCGGGAGTTAGAAGGTGTTAGCTCTATTGCAGCTCCAGTGACCCATTTCAGAATGCCTGGTAATTCACGACCACTCCGAGGTCACTTTTACTTACAATAAGCCCCACATGTTCACTCTACCTTTATCAAATGGATAATGGTATCATAAACACACTTCCAGATTCAAAAAATATTATTTCCAAATCTGGCACGTATATAGTTTTGAAATTTGTTTAACTGTAATAAAACGATTTGAATGGACATTTCTTACCAATTTTGTTTCGAATGCCTCTTGATTCATCTGCTGGCAGCACTTACTGGACCTTACCGGCGACCAACTCGTCTGCCCGCAAAAGCAACAACGCCTAAATCTCAAGGCTCTCCGGACGTCCCCTCGAAAATGCAATCGAGATAAGAACAATCTTCAACTGGAACGAACTCACCAAATCAATACATCCGGGAGCACATTCCCGATGCTTATTTTTCTCTCGCATGCCCGTCGTCGTCAAACGGCAAAAAAAAGGGAACTCGTTGAGCAATTTTGTCATACGGAATTTTCACTGAACATAAACCGCGAATTTACGAACTTCACCACTCCCAACTGCGAAACACGTTCAGAAGCACTTTTGGTACACTTTCGATCAATTTCTTTGGAAAACACAATAAAAGTTGCAAGCGAGCCAACATCAACACTGATTGTATTTACCGAGCTCTTTCACGCACCTTGCAGCGCGTAACTCCGGAATAACCGGGTTTATGTCATGAACCCAAATTATTTCTTATATTACAGTTCCTAATTTTTTCGAAAAAAAAACTGCGGAGTTCTAGGATTAGGTTTATGGATAGACACCTTTTACGAATGTTCCGGTTCTTGCGAGGACCGTTCCGGCTAATTATTAACATTTGTGCTCATTAATCGAAATTATGGATCTTAAGCCACTTGCAAAACCCATAAACACACCTTTAAAAAAACGTGTAAGACTTTTTTCACTAAAAAAGTTGACGATCTTTATTTCAATATTTTTGCAATTCAAATAATCTACAGGGCCTAGGAATTCTAGAGGTAGGAATTTTTTTGAAATTCATCAAGAAATGGCTAAGTTATGTCATTGCAAACTTGCTTTTGCACGTTTTTCGGAGGCTTCGTAGTCAGCCTAAAGTATTTTACCCACCGTATTTGGAGTGTTAATAGCTTAGCATTCCTCAACCATCACAACCAAAGGACTACGATAAATTTGTAAGAGTATTTTTTGGACATTTGTCAAGGTCATCAATCGGATGTCAGTTCTCATATCAGGATAGAGCTGAAATTAGGGCGTAACAGCTTTTGTAAACAATTACTTAATTCGATGGCTCGATCAAGGATTGCCTACGCAAATCATGATCTCCATCAGGTAGGGTAAGATTTCTTCTACCCGACGGTATTGTTAGTTTGCGTGGGCGTACCGTGAATTCCTAAAAATCATCGAGAGAATATGTTTTAATCTAACATACCATGTACTTTAAGGCAACATTGGGGGTACGATTTTAAAAACCAAAGTCGGTCACGGCATGAAAGTGGTCTGATTTTGATCCAGAGATGATGGATTTTAATTCATAATACGCCAATCGATAGGAATTTTTTCTACGAATCTGTTAAAATTAAGATTTTATCATGAATTTTATCAATTTCCCTGACACAGATTTCAAAGTTGAGTTCCAACCGGTCTCACCAAGTCACCAAACAGTGTTTATTCAATCACCGCGTGGTGAGTTGTGGTGTTCTCTAATACACAGCGAAAGGCTGTCTGCAAGTAGCGAGCTGCAGCCCATATGAGCATCCATAGAAGGAGGAAGAAACCGCACCGTTATTGATCGGAATTAGTAACTCTTCGTGAGTTGCTGTGGGCCATCTATGTCAAGCGCGTCATACTAAAGAGTATAAACAGAGAGACTCCCGCTCAAATTCATATTCCTACACAAAACAAAAGCTCCTGCTGCAGTTAACAAAAGAGATTTATTATAAAAGACCACGTAGTCCTACGTCACCATTGCGTACAACCCCATAGGGATGTCCCTTGTAGTTTTTGTTTTGCAGATTACATGAAGATAACATCGTTCCCTTCCATTTTTTTTTCTTTTCAGAACAATTGAAAAATCTGCTTCCAATGAACTAGTTCCACAATCTTAGCAACTACCCTGCGGATAATTTTCAACTACTCACTAATCCCATCATAGTTGGGTAAACTTCGAAATTACAAAAAGGCGCTTTGTTCGAAGGACTAAGAACTCTTTTGTGAAAAAAAGGAAATCGCATTCCTTTTACGAAATAAAGTTGTCCCGCTCTAACAGGTGTGTAATTAATGCCATAAAGCTTCCTAGTTCAGTGTGTAGTGCTAACTGCTCTTATTACATCTAAGTAGGCTTATTAGATTGTGCTTGACTACATACGTCCAGTTTGTTTTGCCTACTGAGATTACGCGCGCATGGAAAGGATTAAAGCTCGCACATAGCTCGAACGTGTCATCTGTATAAAAGTGAAACAGGTGTGTGACTGTTTGAAAAAAAAAAAAGTTTCTCCTTTCCCAATAATCATCGGGAAAAAATTGTGCTAAAATTTGCTCACCATCAGGCGAACAACGGGCATAAAGTATCGTTCGTGGATAAATCCATCGGCCACAGACAGGTGCGATAATGGAAATTCCAGCCGCGATGGATGGAATGCTGAAAAACAGTATGGTCCTGCACGACGATCGGTCCTCGCGGAACAGTAACAGCAGCTCAGGTGAGTCGGTTATTTCGATGTTTATTTAGGACGGGGTAGATAATGAGTGGTAGGTGTTATGTGTGATTTGTTCGGACTTTAATTTGCATGAATTTTCGGCTACTGAGCGTGCTAGGAGTGGAACAAATGAGTCCAATTGTTCGTTTTATTTTGTCAAACCAGGGCTGTGGATTTGGATCGAAAATTGGAAAGTTGGATCCGACTCCTCTGATTTGAAATAAACCAACGCAGCCTCCGATTTAAATTAAATACTATAATTTTAAAAACTTCCGAAAAAAACAAGTAAAAATTCTTGGAAAATTTCAAGAACACTCAACCCGTAAAAGCCCTGTACAAACTTTATATTGCCAAACATTTGTATCGCAAATATGCCATTCCATCATTCAGGTTAGTGGTTTAAACATCTGTTAGACGGTTCTCTTAACCAAAACACCCCCTCTTTTTGATAAACTAAAACTATCGGTTTAAAGGTTGAACAAAAAAAAAAATTCGGACACATATTAAATGCTGCCATTAATGTATTTTTGCGTAATAATTTTTACTGGGGGTACACTAGACTGATGCAAAATTTGACTTTTTCGCTCCACAGTGCTTAAATGGTTTCAAACCGGGTCCTGATTAGCCTACCAAAGTTACAACTCATTTGGTTAGAAACAGACTTCGCACAAGCCATTTGAAGTTTACTTGTAAGTTACCATGGGAAATCTCAACTTTTTGTTCATTGCCTTCTAGTCTTTTTCCATATTAAGCTGCGAAACAGTTCGATAGCCATTCTTATAGAAAATTTTCTCAGCTATAACTTTGCTGAAGATCGTTTCTATGTAAAACGAGACAGGAAAAAGTTATTAATTATTGAAGAGATTGGTAAACTTATGACATGATTAAGCAGCTGCTCTGTAGGCAACACTGTATATTGCAGTGTGACATAGTAGCCATGATTTTTGTGTCCTATTCAACGCCCCAGAAACACCAATGTTGCCTGCTGAGGAGATGATTGAGCATGATCATAAGACATCAGCGCATTGAACCATTGCTAACTTTCGATTCTTGCATTTAATCAAAATGTGGTCTTGAGCAAAGTTGTAGCTGGGAAAATATTCTACAAGTACAATTGAAAACTTTTGAAGCAGATCGATATGGTGAATTATTAGATAGACATGAACAAAAATCTTAGTTTTACGATAGTAATTCCCAAACAAACTTCAAATGGTTTGTGCCATCTCAGTTTCTCACTAAATGGGTTCAAATTTTGAGAGGTTAGTCAGGATCCGATTTGGAATCTTTTAAGTATTGTGGAGCGAAAATTTCAAAATTTGCATCACTCTAAGGTACACTTTGTGAAAACCGAAAATGGAACATGAAACATAATAATGAAAGATTTTGAACATTAGTAGCTCAGCTGCCCCTTGACCAATTTCAATAATTTTATCACCAATGGATCAAAAATATTTTTACGCATCTATAGATTTTTTTTAACGAGAAGCTATTGAAAAAGTGGTAATGTCAAGTGGAGGCCGTCAAGTACCGCGACCAGCTATACCTGGTTCACCTTGAGAACAACAACTTGGATGGACCTCCAGGGCATCCACGTCCTGTTCAATATAGTGGTGAAGTGGGAGCGGTACAAGCCGGTCAGTCGTGGGTTCACCCAATTCTTGAACTGCCTGCTGTTTGGGCATGGAACGAAGAATTGCCATATGGTCATCCGCTGCATCAAGTGTGGCAAACATCGGCCCTTATTACGGGTGTCACTACCCGGTGATAAAGAAGTGATACTCAGAATAAGAGCGGTGATTGCCGTACAAATCAAATGGGAATCAGTTCCCTGTGACGACAAGTGACAAGTTTTCACCGTGAAGTGACATCCGTAATATGCCCCAACACAAAACCGACGCCTGCGACAGACTCGATGAAGCCGATCCCATTTGAGCCAACTGCGGTGCAGCTCACAAAGCTACAAGCAAGGCCTGCCCGAAGCGCACCGAGTACATCGAGATCCGGAAGAAAGCATCGACGAGAAACCAGCCCAGCCGCAAGAAAGTGCTGGAAATTAATGATCAGAACTTCCCACTGGTACCACGACGACCGATTCCAGTGCTGCTGCTCGTGTCGCTGCTACTGCTGCGGCGGTCACCACCGCCACAGTGGTTCCTGGCTGGCCAAAACCTCAAAAATTAAAGTTGATATTTTTTTATTTCAATATTTTTTTATTATTTTTACATGTTAAGAGTATCTTAAATTGAATGATTTTTGCAGTTATGTTGATTAAATATTTTTTTATGGCTGTTACAGTGTAGAGATATTAAACATTTTTGAAAGAAATCGTATTGCTTCTTGTTACTGTTTTGCTCAAATATAGCAAAAACTAATGTGTTTATAAACTTGGTTGCTTCAGAAGAAATGTTCCTCGACTTATTTAACGTCAAATGGATGGCAAAAAAAAGTGTCTTAGTGTTTTTAGTGACAGTTTCTGATATAAAAATTAGCAAAAATATACTTTTTTCGCATTTAGACTAAGCAAAACATATGACGGACACATCCGCCCACTATAATTTAGTAACCAAAAGATAGCTAGAAAAGTTAACTTTCAGATAGGCTTTAATGTGTTTTGCGATTTTTTGCGAAACATGTTGAAATCAGGAATAAGAAGTAAAGTGTTCTTTGAAAATATCTGCTTCTTAGTTATATAATCTGCGGTGTATACCGTAGCAAGCTTTACAATGCCTTTTTCAAAGCACACCAATACGCACACACATACACACACGCACCATATATCTATCTCTTATGGATCATGAGTTATGATTTTATTAAACAAGCAGGTTAGGGTGGCCCCTAGACAATCGGCATTCTTTAAATATCTTTTTATACGTTAATTTCTCGTGAAATTTTTACACCATATACTTTAAGAACTTTTTATGACGCATATTTTGCTAAGTTGTTATCTCTTTTATTTGAAAAGTTATGACTAGTTTTGTTGAAAAATATTACTTTTTTTTAATTTAATTAAATGCTTTAAACACAAAAAGCTCTTGCAGTTTTTTTTTACCAAAAATGAAAAAAAAAACGATGTTTCCAATGAAGTTAAATGTTTGAAAATCGGTTTGCTCCATTCTGAGATATTGACAATTGAAAAGAGTCATTTTTTCGAAGAAAATAGCCTTTAACTTTCTTATCAAAAAAGATAGTAATCTAGTTGCTTGACCAAAAATATGCGTCATCAAAAGTTCAAAGTGTAATCAGAACAATGTTTTTGCAAGAAATTAACGACTGAAAAGATATTCAAAGAAAACCAATTTTAGTGGCCACCCTAAACTGCTTGTTTAAAAAATCATAACTCATGAACCATAAGAGATAAAAACGTTGTGTCTTCTACAAAGTTGCTTTGAATTTAATGTTCTACAACTGTTTACAACACTGCTTTGGTCTATCTCAAATAATAAATAGTTTGTATTTTTAATTCACCAATTTTATGGACCACCCTAATTTTACGAACATAAAAAGATTGAACAAAAAATATGAAGCAACTTTCCCTAAGAAACCATATACCTAAAACTGACAGTTTGGGCGCAAACATTTTTGTCTTCCTAGGTAAATACGGCTGAGACCATTGGGCATTGGTTTTGGTTCTACTATACTCCTTTTTGTGACGTCTTGATTGTCAAGTTTTCTTCGTACAGCTAAAAAACATCTATTTCAACTGTGTTTTGCCTATTAGCAACAATTTTGAGGTTTTGGCCAACTTTCGTTCTAAGGGGAACCACTGTGCACCGCTCAGGTCAAGAGACGACTGCTGCTCCACAGCCGCAGAATCTCCCCACAGCCCCCGGGTTAAACTGGCGTCAGGATGGACCATCCCTACCGCAGCCCGAAATCAACGATGGTTCGTGGTTCAACGCAGCGGATCTAATGATCTTCTTCCTCAAGATGCCCGACATTGTCAACACCATCAAGAACAAATTCGACCAGCTCCAAGCTGTGGCTACCTTCATGCTCAATTATGGACCGTGAGCTCATCAAAATCGCAAACTGGAACGTTTACCCGCTCAAGAGCAACATAATCGAGGTCGTTGACTTCCTCAACGAACATAGCATTGTCATCGCCATCATTACCGAAACTCACCTGAAACCGGAGATAAACGTTTTTCTTCCTGGTTTCCGGCTCGTGAGGTTGGATCGGACAAGCTCTGGGGGTGGTGGAGTGGCCGTCGCTACCAGGAACAACACATGCTGCCGGCTGCTACTCTGTTTTCAGCTGAAAATGATTGAAGCATTGGGAGTCGACCCCGTCACTATCATTGCGGTCTATTGCACGAAACAAGCCAACGCCAGGGATGGATCCGTGGCAGACCTGCAGAGGGACCTGCGCCGACTGATATTGAACCCAGGCCTGCTGGGGTGAGAGGTAATCACGCTTAGCACTACACCACCGGAAAGGAAAGGAAAGGAGCCAGTGTCGCTACTTGATAGTAAACTACTCATGATGGGAGGAGTCTTTTATACCACTTTGTTGCACATCATTCTGCTTCAACCTGAAAAGATATAAAACAGCGCTGCTGTCTAGCATAAACTCATTTTCGTTTCGGACCGTGGTGGTCAGCAATAGCAGCAGTACGAAGGTGGTGGCTAGTCTACTCTTCTACACCCAACAATCAACAATTGACTGGTCGTGGCAAAGGAGGAAAAGGTCTTGGTACAAGAGGCGCCAAGCGTCATCGCAAAGTTCTTCGAGATAACCACCATCCGTCGTCTGGCTCGCCATGGTAGTGTCAAACGTATCTCCGGTCTGATCTACGAGAAAACATCTACACAATAAAACGGGCCTTTTCAGGGCCAACTAGCTTATAACAGTAAAGAGTTGGAATAGAATTTATCTGTGCCTGTTTGTCCATATTCAGAACCTCAGGCCCCCAACGACCACACAAAATGCTCTCCAGAGTTGTAATCTGTATCCAAACTTGGTAGCAGGGGTGCAAGTGATTTTGATTGATTTTCTGCATCAA